TGGAAGTGCTTCATCGCTATCACAACCGATGTATTCATTCAATCGAGAGAGTGAGAACTGCTTGAATCCGATCTTCCGCTGTTTATCAGCTGTGTGACGTGTAACAAGACGCTTGACCTCTTAGGTTAAGTCTTAGGTTCTGATGAGTAAAATGGGAATGACAGCGGTTCCACCTCATAAGATTGTGTGGCTAAATAAGTTTATATAGGCCAGGCACGATGGCTCGTGCCTGTAATCCCAGCACTGTGGGAGGCTGAGGCAGGCGGATCACTTGAGGCCAGAAGTGATGAAACCTGGCCAATATGATGAAACCTCATCTCTACTAAAAATACGAAAATTAGCCAGGCATAGTGGTGCACACTTACTGTCCCAGCTACTGGGGAAGCTGAGGAACGAGAATCGCTTGAACCCAGAAGGCAGGGGTCGCAGTGAGCCAAGATCGTGCCACTGCACTCCAGAGTGAGACTCTGTCTTTAAAAAATAAAGTTATAAAAGGTGCTTTGTCTAGCACTTGGATATGCGTTAGATATATTTGATAATATTATTGTTATTATTACGAGTATTATTGTTGTTATTCTCGGATATCATGATACCCTGGGTAAAACTCTTCAGCCACCGGGTGGAAGAAAAAAGAACTGGAATCCTTTTATAACCAGCTACCAAATAGGAGAGTGACTGCAACCTAGGAATCTTGAATTTCCCATTAGAAGCTGCTGCATTCTGATACTGTAGAGTGCACCATTAATAACTTCCTACAGAAGCCAAAAAAGGGCATGATAGGAAGTAGGAAAATATTTTCCAACCACTGCAGATTACAAAATAGACTCCCGGCATTAATCAAGTATTTTCTTCTTCCAATGGTGCAGTCTCAAGTACATGACACAAGATAAACACAGAGCCATGCTCCATTAAATTTATGAAAGGATGTTGTTTATTTTTATCACATTTATTGAACTTGAAAGATATCCTTTAGTTCTCAAATCAACTTCGGTGTGTATGTTTATTTCTGGGTTCCTGAGTGCTTTTACAATTAACAAAGGTCTGATATTTCACCTCCTGAAATGTAGGCCAGTCACAAGCCAGGGGGCAGAGGTTTGAAGATGGTTTGGGTGGTGTTGCATGGCAGTGATATGTCGAGGTATTACAGCAGCTTTTTCTGGTAGTTTAAGGCAATCTGAAATTCTGAAAGATTTAAAAAATGGGAGTGGGGCTGGGCACTGTGGCTCACGCCTGTAATCCCAGCACTTTGGGAGGCTGAAGCAGGAGGATTACTTGAAGTCAGGATTGGAGACCAGCCTGGGCAACATAGAGAGATTCTAATCTCTGCAAAAATAAAATAAAATAAATTAGCCAGCTATGGTGGCATGTGCCTATAGTCCCAGCTACTCAGGAGGCTGAGGTGGGAGGATTGCTTGAGCCCAGGAATTTGAGGCTGCGGTGAGCTATGATCAGGCCACTGAATTCCAGCCTGGGTGACAGAATGGGACCCCAACTCTCAACAAAGAATGAAAAGAAAGGAAATGGGAGTGGTTCTGTCTGCAAGGAGAGTCAGTCGACTCCAGTTAGGCTATTTGGATCCTCACATAGGCCTCTAATGAATGGTAACAGCTCGGCCCATACTTCTGGGCAGTTTGGTGCTCTTGCCACTGCCTGTGCTAGGAGTGTCCAAGAAATAACCCTCATGACCCCTTCGCTAGCTGCAGGGGTTGACCTCCCTCAACCATGACCTCCCCTCAACCCTCCCCACTGCTGCTGTTTTCCTTTCTGGAGAAGTCTGAGGAATGAAGAGGTCAAGGCTAAGATGATGAATGGAAGTCACGCACATGTTGCCTCCAGCTCTGATTCTACACTCACACTTCCCTGTCTTGGGGTCCCTCCGCTCAGGGAATTGTGAGGCAGAAGGCTTCTCCATCTTTTATTCTTTACTATCCTCTTATTTGTTTGTTTGTTTGTTTGAGACGAAATTTCACTCTGTCACCCAGGCTGGAGTGCAATGGCACGAGCTTGGCTCACTGCAACCTCCACCTCCCGGGTTCAAGCAATTCTCCTGCCTCAGCCTCCCCAGTAGCTGGGATTACAGGCACACACCATGATGCCCAGCTAATATTTGTATTTTTAGTAGAGACAGGGTTTCACCATGTTGGCCAGGCTGGTCTGGAACTCCTGACCTTGTGATCTGCCCACCTGGGCCTCCCAAAGTGCTGGGATTACAGGTGCGAGCATCACCCCGGCCTCTTTTCTATTCTCTTAATATCACAGGTATCACACTTATTTTTAACTCCAAATAAAAGTAAAATTGGGATCTCAGATATTTTATCATTTTTTGATCAGAGAGAATAGCTAAGAATAAAAGATGGAGAAGTCTTCATGGCCTAACAACCCCTGGTCCCCTTTCATCTCAGAAACAGAGCAGAGGGACCCCGGGACAAGGAAATGCATCAGTGTATACTGCCAGACAGAATCATGAAAAGTAGATCAATGCTCTAGTAGAGCTCAAGATATTTTCCAAATCATGGGCAGCAAGCATGCCCTGACTAAAGTACTGAGGGCTGAGTGAAGCAGCCCTAGGGACCTAGGGACTTGATTTCTGAGGCTTGCCAGCGCAAAGAACTTCCACTATTAGACAGGAAATTCTGCAAGCTCTGCATGCATCCCGCTAACATTTCCAATAAGTGTCCTTCCCAAAGATTTAGTCTAGGGCCAGGCCAGTACCCTCCTCCCTACTCTCCACTAACACACACACACACACACACACGCATACACACACACACTCACACATGCACACACGCACACATACTGTACTCTCACTAGTATTATTAAGCTCCCAACTAATTGCATATTCAAAAGTCAACCTTGGCTGGGCGCGGTGGCTCATGCCTGTAGTTCTAGCACTTTGGGAGTCTGAAGTGGGAGGATCACTTGAGTCCAGGAGCTTGAGACCAGCCTGGGAAACATAGAGAGACCTTGTCTCTGCAAAAATTAGCTGGGTATGGTGGCGCACGCCTGTAGTCCCAGCTACTTGGGAGGTTGAGGTGGGAGGATCACTCAAGTCCAGGAGTTCAAGGCTATAGTGAGCTATGATCGTGCCACTGTACTCCAGCCTGGGCAACAGAGTGAGACTCTATTTCAAAAAAAACAACAACTCAACCTTTCTGGACATTCAATTCACACCACAATGATAGTTGACACTGATGCCTATGGTCAGATCCTCAGGAAAGCTGTTACTCCCATGAAAATATCAATAGTGAACAAAATATATCCAGTGTATTCCCAGAAACGGTTCCCTCTCAGTGGGATGAAGACCAGCTTCCATTTCTCCCTTTGGGTCACCTGCCTCCAGTGCCCAGAATGATGAGAGGAGAACCCGTGGCCAGCAGGGAATCTCGAAGCTTGATTCTACAGCTCGTTCGGAAGTGAGATCATAACAAGGCGATAACCAAAGTCTGGAAAAGATGCTCTTCATCACTGGCCGTTCTAACAAAAGGTGAGGTCTTCGCATTTCACTTGAAAGAAAAGGGCACCATAGAGGAGGAGGACACTAACATAGACATTCCTCACTAGTACTAGGAAGGCTCTCATCCCACAGTGAAGAACAGTTTATGATTAAAACAGCTTTGAAGACTGATAAAAGGATGCTTGGAACTTCCTGACCAGGCTAAGAACGTAATGACTTGAGGAACTACGTGAGGCAGGGTTTCTAACTTTCCCTTTTATTTATTTATTTTTTTGAGGCAGAGTCTCACTCTGTCACCCAGGCTGGAGTGCAGTAGCACGATCTTGGCTCACTGCAACCTCCACCTCCCAGGTTTAAGCAATTGTTCTGCCTCAGCCTCCTGAATAGCTGGGATTACAGGCACGCACCACCACACCTGGCTAATTTTTGTATTTTTAGTAGAGACAGGGTTTCACCATGTTGGTCAGCCTGGTCTCGAACTCCTGAGCTCAAGTGAGCCACCCACTTTGGCCAAAATGCTGGGATTACAGGCATGAGCCACTGAGCCCGGCCTCTTTCTCTTTTGTTTTCTAACATTCCTGGGACCTATGACACTTCTGGGTTTTTTTGAGAAGGAGTCTCACTATGTTGTCCAAGTGGGTATCAAACTCCTGGGCTCAAGGGATCTTCCCACCTCAGCCTCCCGAAGTGCTGGGGTTACCGTGTGAGCCACCGTGCCCAGGCAGTGGAGCCTGCCACGTTTGGAACTGCACCACCGTGTACTGCGAAGCATATTAGACTCATTCAGCTGACTTGCGGTTCCACCTTGGGAAAGTCGCTCAGATGGCTCCAGCCTCCGCATCCCCAGCTGTAAAATGGAAGAGACACTGAGCTTGATGAGCTTTGAGATTCTTCCCAGTTTCCAAGTTTAGTGACTCTGGAAAGCAATGACTTCCCTGTCTACTTTCTATGCTGCAGTGAGGGCACTGGAGTGGTAGCTGGTGGCCTCCTGAATCTAAAAGATCTCCAGAGTTTCATGTCTGCCCATGGTCAGTAGACCTGCCTCACAAGAGTCAGTGCTGAGGCTGGGCGCCGTGTCTCACACCTGTAATCCCAGCACTTTCGGAGGCTGATGCAGGCAGATCATCTGAGGTCAGGAGTTCGAGACCAACCTGGTCAATGTGGTGAAACCTCCGTCTCTTCTAAAAATACAATAAGCTGGACTGGGTGTGGTGGTGCACGCTGTAGTTCCAGCTACTTGGGAGGCTGAGGCAGGAGAATCGCTTGAACCCAGAGGGGCTGAGGTTGCAGTGAGCCGAGATCGTGCCATTGCACTCCAGTCTGGGCAACAGAACGAGGCTCCATCTCAAAAAAAAGTCAGTGTTGAGGGGCCCACGCAGGAATCCCTCAAGGACAGAAGGGAGCTTCCAGAGTGTTCACAACCCCAGCCTGGAATGAGAATCATGTGAGGTCCCCATGGCATCACTCCTGCTTTTACTGATTACAGAATCCTCCTTTGTCTCACAGCTCCGTCATTTAATCACACACTTAGAAAAAAAAAAATCCTAGCTTTGTGCAGTGGCAGTATCATAGCCAATGAGGTTTATCCGAGGCGTGATTATTGCTATTTAAAAACTTTTCCCAATAACCCGCCGTGAGGACTTGCAACAAAGTCGGCATCGGCAATTTTTGACAGTCTCTACAGAGACTGAGGGAAAAAAAAAAAAATCCGAATTCTTTCCCCCAAAACTGAACGTGAGAAGTAGCTATGGGTCAGAGGCAAAAGAACAAAGGACACACTCCCCCAGAGAGGAAATACAGAAAGGATTATCCTTTTTCAAAGGTGAAAGAGTGAAATACTTTCCTTCCCCTGGACAGGCAATTTTATCAGGGCTCACTGCAAGGGGAACAGGATGCTATTGTCTTGACTTAATTGGCATAATATCTCCTCCTCCTCCAAATGAGCGGTCAGACGGCTGCTAAATGCTTTCTGCTTCAGGATGAAATCCCTTTTGAACATTGCACCTTTCATCTGGCAAATACTCCCAGATCCTTCACAAGGCCTTGCTTTTGCTAACAACTCCCTCCTTCACTAAGCTGCGAGCTGAGCTGCCATTTCCAGGGCTCTGGGGGATTCTCTCCGGCCCTGTTATCTTTGCCCCTCACCTCCACCCAGCATGGCTGCTAGACTTGTCAACAAGGGAGGCAGCCTCTAGAAGGGAGGTAGTCCCTAGGACAGTCATAAACTTGGAAACCAGAGGGAACATCTGTCTGGGTCTTCATAGAGACTCCACAGCTGTATAAAGGGGACCCAGGAGTAGAGACCCACTGGAGGGGAATTCTGTGACGCAAAGCCTAACCTTTTTGTCCCTTGGAGTGGAAGAAAGGGAAGAGTTGAGCAATCGGTAAAGAGTTCTGCAGGTCAGAGCCTGCACGACCCGATTGATCTACCTCTTCCTTATTGTTCTTGCCAGACACCGGCCAGCTGTCCCCTCAGCCAACAAAGTCTGGTCGGCTCCACAGGGCAGGACTGAGTGGGTGGCCACCACTCTTATCTCCACCACCTTCTGGCAGCGAGAACCTGGAGGCAAGCTATCCAGACATTGTAGCTGCCTGCCTGTCCCTCTGGGAGCCTTATTTCCAGAGGAATTTGAGAACAGAGACACTTAAAAGGTGATTGGGGGTGGGTGAGAAGGTGTAATCTCACAAGGAGAACAATAGAAAGTCCAAATGTCAGGGGGGCAGATAGCAGAAGACACTCACATGCAGAGCCACATTCTCTTCCCTGCCCAATTCTGAGCTTTCTTGATAACTGAATCTGATGACTAAGGGAGCTCCCACCTCACCCGCCCCCGAATCATCCATGTGATTGAAGAAGACTCTTAGATCTCAGGTTAGAACTTCAACCCAATAACAAGTTAATAAATTCCCAAAAGTCAAATTAAACTTAGTCTTTAGATCCCCACCCTTTCCCCGCTATTGTGGGATGGAGTGAAGGTCCCCACAACCCTGGCGGAATACGGCATCAAAACTAAAGTGCCTTCCCCACCCATACATCCACCCCATGCCATGAAAAAAAAGAATTGAAATTTCTAGGGTTTTTTGTTGTTTGCTTTTTTTTTTTAGCTAGGACTTTCTGCTCCAGAGCTTCTCCAACCCGTCTACAGTTGTGTTTCAGCACACGGGTTTCCATAGCCCCATTCCTGGTGTGCATGAAATGCACAGAAAAGCCAGGGATCCTAATCATACTCTTAAATTTCAACATGAATTACCCGCAAAGAGACAATAGGCTTAAACGTCAAGAAACAAGAGGTTCCTAGGTATTTTCTCCTTGTGGTGTTGAGTTTTTGGAAGGCTAGAAAGTTCAAAAAGACTTGGCTAAAAATAACTACAGAAGTGACAGGATTTCTAACATTATCTTCCCCTTTTTAAATTGGATAATATCCTTCTATAGAACTGAATTTCAGGCTGAGCATGGTGGCTCACGCCTGTAAACCAGCACTTTGGGAGGCCAAGGTGTGTGGATCACCTGAGGCCAGGAGTTCAAGACCACCCTGGCCAACATGGTGAAACCCTGTCTCTACTAAAAATACAAAAATTAGCCAGGTGTGGTGGTGCACACCTATAATCCCAGCTACTTGGGAGGCCGAGGCAGGAGAATTGCTTGAATCCAGGAAGTTAATTGCAGTGAGCTAAGATCATGCCACTGCACTCTGGCCTGGGCAACAGACAAGACTCCCTCTGGGGGAAAAAAAAAAGAATTGAATTTCTCCAGACACAAAACAAGATCAAATAAATTTTTTTAAAAACTCCAGAAAAAAAAAAAAAAAAAAAAAAAAAAACTCCAGAAAAAAGGGCCAGGCACGGTGGCTCATGCCTATAATCCAATCACCTGAGGTCAGGAGTTCGAGACCAGCCTGACCAACCTAGTGAAACCCCATCTCTAAAAAAAAAAAAAAAAAAAAAAAAAAAAAAAAAAAAAACTCCAGAAAAGAAGCCAGTTTTCCTCATTAGGTTGGAAAAATATGATGAACTTTCATTTTAAATTCTGGAATGTAAGATTTCATCATAAGCTCTCCAGGATAAAAATCAGTGGTATTGGCCTGTGTGTAAGTCAGTCTACCACAATGCTGGTGGTTCGGTCTAAAGGGATTATTACAAAACCTCAAGCGAGTCAAAGAAAAGTTGTATAGAGTTGTGCCCATCAAAGCTGTCATACTCCTGATTGAAAAGAAAACTTCATCCCTTGAATCCTTTTCCAGCCTATATGAGAAGCTCAGAAAGTAGAGTGATAGTGACCTCATTGTACAAAGTCCCCTGAACTAAGAATGACTCAGCCTAAAGAGGCTTCCTGTTCCCCTGCCCCAACCAGTGCAGGCTAGCCCCCCATCCACATTCCAACGCACAAACACAACAGCCCTTAGGACTTTTGAGAAGAGATACAAAGTTAGAATGGAAATAGGTCTTAGTTGTAAATACCAGCTTAGAGCTGAGCTGCATTTCATGAGAACCATGTTGCCCTCAGTCTTTCCCTGCTAGCATCCACAGGGTGGGAGGATGGAGAAGAGTTAGTTTCTCCGCAGCCCAACCCCACTGAGAAAAGTGTTCACATCTACTCCAGACACAGCTTAAGTTGATAGGGCAGAGAAAAAAATCAGGCCTCCTCTCCTTTGACCACCATGAAGAATCCTCTTTGCAAACCTGTGTTTCTTATGCTCAAGTGTTGGGCATTGACCCATCTGACTAGTTGTCAGGCAGCAGAACTTTTGAGAGAAAAGAAAAAGAACACACTTAAGAGCAGAAGTGAAAGATTTACCTTCAAAACCACAGAGCAAAGCTTCTCGGCCTTTCTGTATTACGGTCCCCATTTTGAAAGTCCATTTCACAGCCCCTCTCACAAAAAAGACGTTAAACATTTTTTTTAGATCTGAAAGCCAGAACCGATTGCAAAATGGGGACCATAATGTTACCTGATAATAAAAAGGCGAACAGTGATGAGGTCCCCATGGCCACACGGCTGCTGCTCCCCTTGGAATCAGGATGGGGTAGGACAGCCTGCTACCGTTCATGAGCAAATGAACAACTCAGCTGCTCCAGACCACTGGTTATCCATTGTCTACCAGGCGTGGGGATGCTCCCTGATGATTTTCCAAAATTCTGAGTCATTCATACATATGGATCTTTCTATTGCCGCTTACTTTTCTACTGCAAAACAAACAGGCCAGGCACAATGGCTCACACCTGTAATCTCAGCCCTTTGGGAGACCGAGGCAGGAGAATCACCTGAGGTCGGGAGTTCGAGACCAGCCTGACCAACATGGAGAAACCCTGTCTCTACTAAAAATACAAAAAAAATTAGCCAGGCATGGTGGCACATGCCTGGAATCCCAGCTACTAGGGAGGCTGAGGCAGGAGAATTGCTTGAACCTGGGAAGCGGAGGTTGTGGTGAGCCAATATGACACCACTGCACTCCAGCCTGGACAACAAGAGTGAAACTCCATCTCAAAAAACAAACAAAAAAAAATTCCGGCTGGGCGCGGTGGCTCAAGCCTGTAATCCCAGCACTTTGGGAGGCCGAGGCGGGTGGATCATGAGGTCAAGAGATCGAGACCATCCTGGTCAACATGGTGAAACCCCGTCTCTACTAAAAATACAAAAAATTAGCTGGGCATGGTGGCGCGTGCCTGTAATCCCAGCTACTCAGGAGGCTGAGGCAGGAGAATTGCCTGAACCCAGGAGGTGGAAGTTGCGGTGAGCCGAGATCGTGCCATTGCACTCCAACCTGGGTAACAAGAGAGAAACTCCGTCTCAAAAAAAAAAAAAAAAAAAAAAAAATTCCATATATAATAATATACACTACTAACATATTATTATATAAGACATGTAATAATATAGCATAATACATCTCATATAATATTATCATATATAACATATAATGATTTGGTCGTATATAGAGTCGTGCCCGTCAAAGCTGTCATAATTTTGATTGTAAAGGAAGCCTCATTCCTTGAAGCTTTCTCCAGCCTGTATGAGAATCTCAGAAAGTACAGTACAGTGATGGTGACCACATTATATGAAGTGCCCTGAACCAAGAATGACTCAACCTAAAAAGGCTTCACATTTTGCCACAGACCGTCTAAGCCCCCATCCACATGCCAGTGCACAAATACACACAACCTGGTTGGCAAGTTCATATATAACATATACTATATTACATCTTATATTACATGTTATATATGATATGTGATAATATAGATAATATATATATTAGTAGTATTACTTATACAGATGGGGTCTCACTATGTTGCCCAGGCTGTTCTTGGACTCCTGGCCTCAAGCAGTCCTCCTTCCTCAGGCTCTAAAGGTGCTGAGATTATAGGCTTGAGCCACTGTGCCCAGCCTTTAAAAAAAAATTTTAAGACCAACCTGACCAACATGGTGAAACCCCATCTGTATTAAAAATACAAAAATTAGCCGGGTCTGGTGGCACGTACCTGCAATCCCAGTTACTTAGGAGGCTGAGGCAGGAGAATCGCTTGAACCCAGGAGGCGGAGGTTGCAGTGAACTGAGATCATGCCATTGCACTCCAGCCTGAGTGACAGAGCGAGACTCCAAATCAAAAAAAAAAAAAAATGTTTAGAGACAGTAGATTTTTCTTCTTTTCTTTTTTCTCTCTCTTGCCGCCAGCACACTTTTCTAGGACAAC